CCCCAAAACCCCAAAACCCCAAAACCCCATGAATCCATATAAGCATTTATTTAGATTATTTGAAAAATTGTAATAAATAAGGTAAGTAACTTAAGTTGCTAACTCTGGAACTAAAATATAAGTGATGATTATAATAAATATCTGATTTTTAAAAATGAATGGAGAACTTTTTGATAAATAGCATTTATATCCAAGCAAGACCTACATTAAAGCTTAGCCTCCAAAGATGAATTTAAAAGTCAAAACTTATTAAACGGTATATTAATAAATTCAATTAAAGTTTATTAGTAATTTGTTGATTATTCTCCTTCTAATAACAATAATAACTTATCCAAAGAGACAATTAACTAAATGTTTCATGAAACAGACAACCTGCTGAGCAGAATGGAGGAGCTGAAAAAAAGAGGATAGACTAAAAAAATAAGCGAAATGGGAGATAAATCAATTCTGAATAATTTTTCAAATAATCCACTCAGCCCTAAAACCTAGGCTGAGAATGATCAAAATCCTTGATTGGTGTTTAACTCAACGAATAAATATAGACAACGCAATAAAAAGAATCAATCATTCCACAAAGCTAATTTTAGCATCAATCAAAATGAAAGCTCTGCCTTGATTGACTAAAGCCTGACTGCTAAATCAGTATAAGTCGCCCGCAAAAGTGTGCTAGAAAAGTTTACTAGTCTATTCAGATCAAATAAGTAAAGGGAAGAATTATATATGGAGTACAATGATTTACAGGATTATTTAGAACCAACACTAGAATTTGAATACGAAGATCGTCCTCCTTTTTCATCGTTGAAACCGAAACAAAAGAAAATGTATGTTTTACATATGTGGAAGTTAGCTTATATCAAGGCGGAAGCTATTGCAAGATTTTTGAGAGTTTAACAATATGTGAGGACTAAAATAGATCTGTTTGGTTTATAAGTTAATAAAGATGGAAAGTAAAAAAGAAAGAATGAAAATAATTTAGATAAAGATGACAAAGAGCTGATTGCTGAGGAACAAGAGCTCTCAATATTCATCATTTTACCAAACAGCTTCTTTAATATTTGCTGGTGCTTGACCATGCTTTTCTTCCAAGTTTATGTATCTGTGTATATGCCTTACAACATTTGCTTCAATGATGAAGTATTGTCTGGAGGCAATCTAGTATCAGAATATTTCGTAGATTTGTTATTCGCTTTCGACATTTTAGTGAATTTCTGTAGAGCGAGGTATCTACCTAATTAAATGCTAGAAACAAATATAAGAAATATATCTTGAATTTACATAAGAGATAACTTTACCATAGATGTGCTTAGTGCTTTACCATCATAACTCATGGAAATAGGTTTTAATGATTCTGGTGATGTAACCTCATTTAACAGAGAAACTACAATAAAAATGCTTGCAAAAATGTATAAGTTAGTGAGGCTGGGAAAATTAAGGTTTATTTTGAAAATATTTAGAAAAATAAGGCTAGTCTAAGTAATCAAAGCCAAATTAAAGCTGAGTGCTGCATTTTTTAGAATGCTTTTTACACTATTGATTGCATGCTTGTCAATTCACTTAGTTTCATGTCTTTGGTTCCTAGCGGCGAAATACAAAAACTTTAGTCCTGAAACTTGGGTAGTCAGGCTAGGTCTATAAGATAATACAAGAAGTTAACTCTATTTAGAATGTTTATATTGGTCACTGCAAACAGTTGCAACAGTTGGATATGGTAATTTTGGAGCAGTAACTATCCCTGAACTTCTATTATGTCTCATTTGGATGGTTTTTGGTGTAGGTTTCTACTCATTTATCATTGGTAACCTTTCACTGATTATTGCCAACGGAAACACTAATTCAGAAAATTTAAATAGCAAGCTAAAGTCTATAGATGAATTTTCTAAAAAGACTAATATGCCTGAAGATTTAGCATTCAAGATCAAAACCTACATCGAAAAAAATTTCGATGAGCTATATGGACAATAAGATGAGAGTATTTTCTTACCTGAGTTGCCTAACACTTTGAAGGAAGAGATTTTCAACTACAGATACAGTGATTTAATCCAGTCATTTGAGTTCTTGAGAAATTGTGAAGATAGGAGATTCGTCAAGGAATGCATCTAAGTAATGAAAAAGATAAAGGTTGATAAAGATGATGTAATATATGGCGATGGAGATCTTTCTGAAGAAACTTATTTTATTAAAAGAGGATAGGTGAAAGTATATGACACTTCTGGTGTGCCTTTTATTGATTATGGAGAAGGATAGGAGTTTGGTGATATAGAGGTTGTATTGTCTATTCCTAGAGAAGGAAAAGCTGTAGCTCTAGTAGATTGCATTTTTTACCTTCTTCACAAGGACGATCTTCTGTAAATAATTGAACAAAATACTAGGATGAGGCATATATTATTTTAGGAAGCTTAACTAAAAAAATAAGAATATGATAAGAAAAGAGAATAAGTTAGATAAATATAACCAATTTTTGGAAGGAAAATAGTTTCAATTGTAAAGAATCAGTTCTTGGATCAGTCTAAAATCAGCAAATTTGGAATGTCAGTGAAGAATAAACTTAAGAAAAAATAAGATTAGCCAGATAGTAAATTAGAAACTTAAAGAAATGAAGGTTCAAGGCGTGGATCAATAAACTCAAAGAATTCTTATAATAGCAAAAGCAGAAAAGCAACCAAATTTTTCACAATAAGAGGGTAGACTTAAAATGAAATCAAAGAAAATGATTCTGAATTAGATGAAAGATGCGGTAGTAAAAAAAATAATCCATTATCAACAACTAACTTGAACAATGAATACTTTGAATTCGCAGATTTTGAGAATGGATTTATGAAAGCTGTATAAAAAAATCATAAGAAAATTAGAGAGCAGAACACGAGTAAGATGGATAAAGACCCAGAATTTACCAAAAGCGTTGCTGATTTATTATAAAGTGATATATCTCATTTGGACTCACAAGTAACATCTAGGCCTAATCTTAGCCAAAATATAATCAAGATTGAAGATCTTAAGAAATAGTATGAATCGAAAAATAAGGTATCTACAAGGTAATCATATGATAGGCAAACTTAACTGTTTGCAGAGAAAATTTAATCACACGAAGATCCTCAAATTCTATAATTAATGGGGGACGATTTAGCCGAAGAAGGGCTGGAAAATTTGGCTAGATTTAACTAAGATATGAGTATGATTGCAAGAAACGTATTTGAAGTCTATAATTTATTTGATGCACTTGGAGCGGATTAACAAAATGCTTTCAGAAGAATATAGCAACTAGAAGAAAAAACTATAGCTCTAGAAGAGCTGCAAACTGAAAATGCTTAAATAATCGAGTAAATAATATAATTGCAAGACTAAATCTAGCCATGAATCTATTTATAGCATAAACTAGGAAAGCTTGTAATTTCATGAAACTATTTATGTTTTAGCTTATCTATATATAATTGGTCCATTTACTTATCCTATTCAAACTTCGATTTGCACCTATTTTTTTCATTATGGGGTTTTGGGGTTTTGGGGTTTTGGGG